TTCTCCATCTGGGATCATCTGGACAGGTCTAGTCACTGATTTGGCTTCTCTCCAAGGGATGAGATCCAGCACCTGAAGGATAAAGAAAACTAAGGAACATTGCATGTAGAATATTGCATACAGTTTTGGGCCCCCACAACAAGACACTCACTGACTGGAGTTCCACAGAGAGCCAAGATGCTCAGAGGGCTGGAGCACTTGGTGTGGAGAGGCTGAGGGACCTGGGCTGTTCAGCCTGCAGTAAAGGCATCCCCAGCAGCTCTGCAATGCCTGCATGGAGGCTGCCCCAGTGATGAAACCACAGGCTTCACAGACATGCATTCTGAACAATTCTGAGGTGAGGAAGTTAAGTTGAACTGTGAGATGTTCAGACTGGACATAAGGAAAGTCTTTTGACCATAAGGCAGTCAAGCACAGCCACAGCAGTCCAGAAAGGGACTGCACTCTGTATCCCTGAAGGTTTAGCCAGCCTGACTGGATACACTTGGTTTGACAAACTTGGTCTGGACTCAGAGCAGGCTCTGCTTTGAGCAGGGGGTTGGACTAGATTATGGCCTGAGGTCCCTTCCAAACTAGGGTACCTTGTGATACTATGAACACCCTTTAAAATAACCCTGGCAAGGCAGGTAAGAAATATCCCCCTCTTTCTGTGAGTGGCTATTTTTTCCCCCTTGTCTATGTCCACAGCAGAGACTTTCTCACATATTCTTCTACAGCAATTCCAAGATTTTTACCTTTTTTAAAAAAAACCTTCAGCTTGTCTGTCGTCTCTCACAGTGGCACTGCCTGCTTAGGCAACTCACCACAGCTGCCATGACTAGCACAGTGTCCCTTGCTGTGGGAACTCTAATGGTGGCCCCTTCCCACAAAGGATGAGCATGAAAGCTTTTATAGGGTTAATTAGCAAGTTATCATCTTCTCCTCTGGCTATGACCAAATGAGCACAGGTAACCAGGGAACAATACTTTGGGGCAAATGGTTAGTCAATAACCTGCTGTTATGTGAAGGATGGAGTGACCTTTATGGCTGCAGGTACCTAGGTAGCTGGCAGCATTTCATACACTAACACAGAAAGGTAGCAAGTAATCAAAAAAAGCACATATGTTACCTGTGGCCTTTGTGGTCATCATAAGCTTCTGGGAGTTCAGAGTGGGACTGGGAAAGGGCATTCCAGTTTCCTCCTCCTGAGAGTAGTTCTGCCGCAGGAATGATGTTGCCTCATAGCACATCTCCCTCTCGACCTGTACCTCTCCAATACCTTGACAGTGCAGGTAAGTGTCTAGCTCAGGTGTTCCATCCCAGGAGCTACAGCCTCCTATGTGGGTCCCTTGGTGCTCTGGTGGTAGAATCAGCTCACAGTCTCTGTCCTCAGGAATGATGGGAATGCGTTGACCCAGATCACATACACCCTTACAGCAGTTTGGCAAGGTGTCATCAGGAAGTGTGTACTGCACATTCACTGCATAGTCTTCTGTATAGCAGCCACCACCTCCACTGCCACTGTTGCTACTACAGGCTACCTGCTTCTCTTCATAGAAGCAGCAGGGCAACCCCTCATATTTTACCCCATCTGTCCTATGTAAGTGGTCTGAGTTAATACTGTACAAGCCTGGGGTGTTCCCTGACTGTGGTTCAATTCCTTGGCCACATGTCCCCCACAGTGGAGAGCTAAGGAAGAGTGCACTACAGTCAGCTGTGCCACTGCTGGGCTCCAGGGCAGAGTGCTGGAATTCAAAGCAGCACGCGCATGCCTGCTCCGAAATCGACCCTGCTATCTCTGGATTCTTCCAGTTCCTTTTAACATCCAAGGCAGCACCAGGAGTGGCCTCAGGTCCTCCCTCTGAGGTAGTGCCATTTGGATCCCTGTGCTCTAGTGAGGAATTACTGCTATAGTTCATATCCATGCTGCAGTTAGACAGTTGGTCCCCTGAGGAAGAAGCAGGCACGGGCCGGCAGTCAGCACCCACCACGGCATGACTGTGAGCTGGAAGCTCGTCCTGGTGGGGGCCCTCCAAGAGCACAATTGCACCCCTGTTTGCACCACCGACCTCGCCCGCTCGGCAAGGGCTCCTGCTGCGGTAAACGTAGGGGTCATAGTCACTGCTCAGAGAGCTGCGGAAGGTGGAGCAGCTCCCGTAAACCCCCTGGTTACTGACCTCAGTGCAGTCAACCATGGAATCACTGGAGGAGCAGTGGCACTGACCAGAACTGCTGCTGCTGCTGTCGCTCCCAGGGCAGTCAGCCAAATACCCACTGCACACCGAGCGATGACCGTGGTAGCAGCTAAAGCTGGAGGTACTGCCGCTCTCCAAGCGGGACGAGGGCATTACGTGTACCACAGGAGGGAAAAGCATGCTGCTACCAGGCTGAAAGGCACGGGAAGGACCCTTTGAGGAAATGCCAGCTGGAAGCTGTCCATCTTGCTCAGGGTAACTAAGGCCTTGGAAGTAGTAGTGCTGATACATGGTCTCGTATCGGGAGAAGCACGCTGCTTTGGAAAAGTTGCGTCCACCAAACTTGGGTCTTCGGAAGTTGTGAGCTGGAGAGTAAGCCCTGTGCTCCAGGCTGCAGTGATGTGTGTTTAAAGCATGGTCCAAATGAATGGGCTGATAACTGCGAATGTAGGCGGGGGAAGGGGCTGGGTAGAGGCTCTGTTCACCGTGCCGCTCCACGGTCAGTAAGGTGATGGGGTTCCCGTGGGGGTCCATGCTGGTCCGCGTGGGATACGCTGTGATCTGGCTTGCTCTGTGCACCCGGCCCGGGTAATGGACAGGCAGGATCACCCTCTGCTGCCGGCTGCGGGCCGGGTTGATGGATTCCAGACAGATTGGAGCTGCATTCCCCTTCTTCTGCTCTGAATGAGAGAAATAACAATGGAGAAGTAGAACTAGCAGGGAATAAAAGGGAATGTACTTTATACGGGAAAGGCTATTTTGTTTTCCATGTCATTACATTATGCACCAATTTTTTACACGGAAGAAAATAAAAGCAAAACAAAAGTCAAAAGCACGTCTGGAAAACTTTGAAACACCCAAATGTATTTGCTTAAAAAGCAAAAGAAGTGAATTTATTTCAGATACTGTTCTCATATGCACAAAACATTTTGCTTACATCTTGCAGAGGCTGAGAAAGGCTGGAAGTCATTGCTCAAATTTTCACTTTATGCATTTTTACATAAATGTGCAGCGCCAGAAAACTTTCTTAAGACAGAGGAAATGAAAGCAGGAAGAGGGCAAGCAAGGGAAACCACGTTCCAAGTTACAACACCATGGAAAAATAAAAGAACATACATTGTTTTCTTTATAATTCCCAAGGGAAAACATATCCCTTTTCTCCATGTATCCTTGCACTCAGGGCTGCACAACACTGCCCTCAGCTGGGCATCATCCCCACCCCAAGGCTATGCCAGGGGCACTCAGCTGCTCTCTGAGAGTTTGGGGCTCACTCTATTTCCAGGGCTATGTTACAATAAGGACTGAGAGCTCCACGGAGATTCACACACAGGCACACTTTTTATTTCATCTTTTGAGCTGTCTGAAATAAACAAGACACTGCAGCACTTACCGATGATGTTATGGCGGCAGTGAGGGCAGGTGTGATGCTGCAGCAGCCAAGGATCCACACATTTCTTGTGGAAGCGGTGAGTGCAAGGAATGACACGCAGTTCCTACAGGAGCAGATGAAGCACCATGAAAATATGAATGAAAATTCATGTGCATGAAAATGTACTTCTTCCTAACAAGTGAATTTTTCACAGCTTGCTCCTGATTTTTTTTCAACCTGGCTATTAAATGGAGCAATTCCTAGTCTTGAAGTGCTAAGAAGGAAAAAAATGGCATCAAGACAGTCAAGAGCACAAGAGGTAGTGCTCAGCTGTCTCTGAAAGAATAGTCTGCAGGGACCTTAGAACTCCATGCATTTCTTTAGGACATTTTTTGTAGTATGTCTCTATGACCCAACACCTTTAAGAAGGACACCATAAAAATTTTCCTTAATATACTCAATGAACTTAAAAAACAGAAATCAAGAGTAATGATGTACCCTTCCTACAATTATTTGCAATGGAAAACACTCGGGTAAAAGCAAAACCAACACAGTGTATGTGATACTTTTCCCTTGCCCAGGACTCTTATCCTTCAGCTATGATCTGTTTACAGGATTTCCTGAGCCTGATGCATATCTCTTTCAACAAATCTTTCCTCTAAGTGCTCACGTCTCCCCATGAGCTTAGATTTTCAATTTGTAACATGCTTTGGCAAGGAGTTCCATAGGGTTGCTACCTCCTGGTGGAGAAACTTTGTATTCCCCTGTCCCCAAGTAATCTAGGTCTAAAAAGTCCTTGCCCACTCAATCCTTCAGAGTTTTTTACAGAAACCATTCAAAATATTTGATCATTTTGTGACTACTCTTTCCTGAAGCACCTTCCTTTCCGTTCTGTAGCTTTTGTGAGGTGAGGTCAGAAGTACACAGTACTCAAAGTGAGAACATGACTAAACTTACACTGTGGTGTAATTAAGTTTTCAGTTCAGCTCTCTAGACTTTCCCATCTCATTCCTAGAATCTGATTTGCCTTCCTAACTGCCACAAAGCAGTTAAATTGCCACCAATTTGCTCTCACAAAGCTATCTAAAGCATCAAGATCTTGTTCCCGAAGAGCAATGCTCAGCTCCCAACCCATCCCTGATGCATGTGAAGCTCTTCCCCATGTCTATCACTTCAAGCTGAAGTTCATGCCTGAATTTCCTCTGCAGTCAGTTTGTACAGCCCTTCTGAAGTCCTTGTCTACCTTCATCCTTGCTACTCTGAATAATTTCCCATCAACTAATTTCATTAAACTTTCTATTTGCACCTTGCAGCACTCAAATATGCAGCTGGCATTTTCTATTGCATTAAAAATGACTCTTTTATGAATCATTTCAAAATAAAATGTCCTCACATAATCTTTCTAATGGAAGTTGATAGCTGTGAATACTGACTGCCTCTATTTTATTTATTTTAAGGAGCCCATTTTCTATTTCACCTCTGGGTTGAACTGTCATGGACACCAAGCCCTGACATCAATACAGTGATTGTAACTGAGGAGTCAGAAAACTGTTCCTGAACATTTTGACCTCTCTTCCTTCTCCTCCTCTGGTTTCCCAGCAGTGCTGTGAAAATTGACATTTTTAAGACAGGGTTCCATCAAATCTTGAAAAGCAAAACCCTAAGGATATCCCTTACCTCCAAGGGAGCTTGCACACATCATCACCTTCGTGCATGACTTGTCAAAAATACCCAGAGAACCAACTGCTGAGGCAACCCTGCCATCTTTGTTCTTCAGAAATGCAAGAACAGTGAAGGCAGCAACTTGCAAATGGGATCCTTCACCTCTCACTCTGCAGCATGGGTAATTCAGAGCTGCAGGATGCAGCTGAGGCCAAGTTGGCTGCTCAGTGTGATCAAACTGAGAAGCGGCACCACCTCAGCACAGAATGTCCCCAACAGCCAGCCACGTACCACAGTGCTAAAACCACCTACATTCCCAGCCCGTGGTGAAGAAACCTTTCATCCTTTACCTCCCCATCAATGTACTTCTCCAAGCAGATGGCACAGTCAGAGGTGGAGCTGCTACTGAGTGTATCCAGTGCTCCACAGTTACTTTCTCGGTGTCCCTTACTTTTGGACTTAAACTTCCTGGTCTCCATTTTCTCCAGTGCTTGCACTGCAAGCCTGTTCATGGAATTCTACATGAGAAGAAACAAAAGAAAAAAAAGAAAAGAAAAAAAGAAAAAAAAAAGCCAATGCTGCTGTGTAAGGGACTAGAGTGTAATAGCAGAGAAACACCACCATAACATATCTTACAGATCATGTCAGCCCCAAGTGATGTATAATTTCTTAAATTAAACAGAGAGAAGGCTAATTAGAATTCAGATCAGAAGCCTCATGGAAAAGAATGTATGCCACATGCAGAAGTGAGAATGATAAACTACTCTGAACTAGAACTGGATGAAGGTGCTGACAAATGGGATACACTGCAACTTCTCAACTGATGGGCTGCAACTATTCAAACCAACATATAAAACTTGGCCAGGAATTTTTTTTCTATGTCAATATGTCAATATTGATTGTAATGTCCCAATATGCTGTTATCACCCTATTGCCTGGAGCAATACTTGAGAAAGGGATTAAAATGAAATGTTATAAATTAGCTGTATTATTTCCTCCAGGACAAACTCTAAGTATGTCACCTGGAATTTATAGAAGTATACCAGTGCTACTGATAACCTGTGAGCAACCAGCAATGTTCTTTCTTCCCAGTGCCTAAGTGGACTGCTTCTGCACTGTTTTCATTCCAGGATTTAACTGAACGAACATCATGGGTCGATGTAAATCTCCTTTAAAGATATTTCCAAGTTCTGCTAAAGGCCTACCCGCATGGACAAAACCACACAGCCACCAAGATGGCTACTGTAAGTCAGTGGCCTGCATTTCCCAAAGCTGCAAGCACATTTTAGGACAAAGTAAGAGAAGCTAACCTTCAGCATTCAGTGAATTCCCACTACTGCTCTTACCTGACTGCGTCGCTGTTTCAGTTTGATCTTGACAAGAAGAATGAGGCAAACAAGAGACACAACCACAAAGAAGGCCAGGAAAATTCCCATATCAAAGTACTCGGTGGGTTGCTTAAAAAATAAAACAAAGGTATTATTATTCCTTCCTTTAGATCATACTCAAAGCTGTTGTTTCTTTCTCTTTTAATTTCTCAGGGGTCATTGCTGAGTGTACACAGTCAGAATGGCAGAAGTCAGGGTACACATTGTTCTGTTCATTACCTGGGATTCTAAGAGACAAAACCTGTGTTTTGTGCGCCACTGCAAGTGAAAGGAATACACAGAATGCCAAGCATGGGATACCAGGTTTACAGTCTCTGAACTGCAAAATCCAGGTTTTTAACTGAGTGAATCGCACCAAAACAAATTTTATAGCTTATTGGGTTGCTTATGCATGTAACTGACTGAAAAATCAACATTTGAAATTTCAAAAAATGGCCCACTTCTCAAATACATTTCTTAACAGAAGGATTCCATTAAAACGAAAACCAAAAAACTAAAGTGGTAAGGACATGGATGACCTCTAGTTTTGTTCTTCTGTAAACTATATGTAGAGTGTTAGGGGGAAAAAAGGTCTAAAAAATCTATTTTATATTACAATTACAAATATCAGATAATCTCATAATTAATCTACGTTTAAAATATTACACAGAATTATTAGTTGACACAGGGCAAACTGCCTTACAAAACTGAATGATCAGGAGTGTGCAATAACTAAGAAAAAGGAAAACTTCTGTGTGAATTTCTATACTCAAAAGTATCCTTCTGAAAGACAGCAGATGCCACATTGTGGATTTCATACTTACACCAGGTCCAGCTGCTTGTCCACAGTTCTCAGTTTATTTAGGTCAACAGAATTTCACATGTATTAATGCACACAAGGAGCACCAGAACATCTTCACCCCCAGTGCAGTGAGCAAGCCCTGCCTGCAGTAACAGCACTGAGATACCCAGAGAAAGGATCTGAGAGTCTCACCCGTGGGGGGCGATGCTGAATCCTGGCCCGTGCCACTTTCTGCTTGTTAACTATGTTCATGAGCTTGACAGCATCAGCACCTTTCACATACACCACTGGTCTCTTCAGAGGGTCCTCTGAGCCCTGGTTCAGCTAGAACAAAAAAAAGGAGTCTGCTCAGAAGGCACGTTTCAGGAAAACCACCTTCCTTCTGAACAATGCAGAGAATGGTTAAGGAGTATGAACATGGAATTGATTTCAAGCACCCATTGTTCTCTTCTAGCACAGACTTTTAGTTAAGTATTCCACAGAATTAAATCTGAATTAAACTTTTTACTTATGCTGCCTTTTTTTTTATGGACCAAAAATAAGATTAAGCATAAGCAAATGCTACTTCTGAACAGCCACTTGAACTTAGCTGCATCATGGGTCAGTGCAGATATTAATACTGTAATGTTAAAACTCACAATGAAGAAGAATAAAAATCTGCACATTAAAACAAAATTGTCCCTGCTACATTTTATCAATCTTTCAACTTCAACTTTTTCACACAGAAATTTCTTCAGCTCTCTGAACAATCTCATATCAGAAACCTGTCTTTCAGGCTCTTTGTACCTAGCCAAGTTAAGTTAGTAATTTCTGATGTTTAACTCTACCAACTCATTCAAAATTACTTGAGTTCTAGCAACTATGAGACCTGATTGCAGGATGGGGGGCCTCAAAGACTAAAGTATTTGAATAGACCACATAATTCACCCTGAAACTTCCTTCCAGGTCCAGCTATGTTTTGTCCAAAAGGTCAAATCATAGAATCAGAAAATAATGTGTGTGGGAAGGCATGTCATGAGCCCAACCTCATGGTCAAGGCAGGGTCAACTGTGACATAAAATCAGGCTGCTCACAGCTTTATCCAGTGTAATCTGAAAACCTTCAAGTGTGGAGAATGTGCAACTTCTCTGGCCAATAATTGCAGAACAACAATCTGCTAAATTATATACCAGAGAGAGTTATAACTACACAAGAGAATTGTTCTGTTAAAAAACAGCACCAACATGATAAATTCATACAGCTTATTCTGACTGATGACCAAAATAAGAGTGCAGAGGCTGGTTGATAGAAAACAAGCAATGCACTGACAAGCAGATGGAAATGGTACAGGGGAAAGGAATGAGATGACAGGTCAGGAATGTGAGTGAACAGGAGCATCTTATGGCTGAGATTAACATATCTGCATTGTTGACAGCTACCTGTTAGTTCTGGCCAAACCATGTAGAAATTACCAGCTGACTGGTAATTTCCTGATTAAAAGACTCTACTTAAACTGACCAGATGATGATAACAGATTTCATTGACACTTTTTAAAAGTGATTCTTCCTAGTATTTGGAGGATTTTCTGAGAACACTGATCAAACTTCTTTTAAGTCAGGTGTCTTGTGATGAGCTGAAAAATAGCTGCAGCATCCAGGGACCCTACATGTCTACAAGCCTTGCTGGCCTAGGGCCAAATCCAATCACTGTCCTTCCATTCCCAGACACATACTCTCTCTCATGATTTCTTGTTCAAGAGAGAATTCTCCCAGTTCCTCAGTCATTTTTGCACATTGTCAGACTCTTGCTAATCATGATGCTCTGGGTGCTGTTACTCCTCTTCAAATATGCAAATTAAAACTAAGAAACAAGTCAGACTCCAGAGAGCATTTCTAAAAATAAAAGTTTCATTCTTAATTTACAGCAAAAGATACTCAGATCAATAGGAGTAAAACCCATTTAGGCAAAGTCCTTTTATTTGGCATCTACCAAATTATCTGAGGACAATTCTTCTGGTCAGGCCTGCTTCCAATTTCTGTTCATGGACTGGCAGAGGGACTGCCTTTCATAATACCCCACTCCTCCTTTTCAAAGGAATCTCCCTTATTTGTTCTAATGCTTGGTAACAAGCACACATGAGAAAATTTCCTAAACAGCTCCCCTCAAGTGTCTTAGGATATTTCCATTTGAACCAAAGATACTCCAGATTACCTCATGTCAGTTTTCCCTCCACTGTCTGTCATTGTTTTTCACAATTCCATTATGAGTGCCAAAATGGTATTTATTTTAAAGACAAATTACTCAGCACCCCAATGTCAAAGGTTCTGAAGACTTTAGATGAGAATCAAAATCCATTAAAAACAAGCATCCAGAGCAGCATGAGAACAGAGCCAATCCAGTAACTGTAACTTTTAGAGTATGAAAGCTGCATCCAGTCATTCCTCTCCTGTTTGCCAGTGTTTCCACAGGCTCTTTCATCTAGCAGAGCCTACTCACTGTGTCAGCTACTGCTCTAAGCCACTAACCTTCTTCCTTTTTATTGGTACACCCAAAATATTCAAACATCCACTAGACTAATTTCCCAGCTCCTGGGGACAGATGCACCCAGTCTATTATTTATAATCAAGCAAAGAAAGCTGTTGTTAGAGGGAAAAGAGCAAGAGACAGTAACTCAGCTTTCCCAAGTTCAGAGCAGGGTGGCTGAAAGTAACCAGAAGCTGCAACACAGAGTTAAAAAATAGAAAATGACAGATCACATCTTTGTAAAGAGATTTTTCCTGTGTAGAAAAGGGGAAAAAATATCCCTGTGAATGTTTTCAAGATCAGAGCTTGATGCAACTTTGATGCACATGCAGACCACAGAACTCAAAGCACCCATTGCACAGGATCTTCTGCATTCCTTTGTCCAACAGATGCTCATTTCAGAATTAAAGCCAGCTTCTTTCATGTAAACATTGATGATCTCCCTTTTCCCCCCAAGAAACACAGGCTGCACTTAAAAACCTTCAGCTCCACTTGTTTCTGCTGTAACAGAAACAGCAGTTTTGTTTCAAGACTAAACAGAATTAAACAAAATGCAGAACTATTTTTGTGCTTATGTTTCTTCACTGAAATAACCTAAAATTAGCTGAAGTATGCTAAAGCCTTTCATAGGGCTATTACCTCACCCACTTCAAATA